TTCAATTCTCTAATTTTGGTGAATATTTTTATCATTTTTGGTAAAAAGTGATATTTTCGACTTCTTGTTAAAAACCGCAAGTCCAATTGCTTTGATATTACATATATGGATACTACATGTGGACCTTTCTCAGATTTGTTCATTTCGTGATGATATCTTTAATTCTCTAATTTTGGTGAACATTTTTGTAATTTTTGGTAAAAAGTGATATTTTCGACTTCTTGTGGAAAACCATGAGTCTGACTGGTAGGTACTACATGTGGACCTCTCTCAGATCTGTTCATTTTGTAATGATATCTTCAATTATCTAATTTTGATGAATACTTTTGTGATATTTCTGAATTCTTGTCGAAAACAGCAAGTCCGATTGCTTTGATACTATACATATTGTTCATTTTCTAATTTTTTAATTGAAATGTATATTGCTAACAGTGGGGCTATCTCAGCCGACAGGCTGCTTGTTGTTGTTAACATTTGATTGTTATATACACAGACCCAAGTTGCATATGTCTGTCATTGTCTGCATTGATGTTGTCGTTAACATTTGATTGTTTTATATACAGACCCAAGTTGCATATGTCTGTCATTGTCTGCATTGATGTTGTTGTTAACATTTGATTGTTATATATACAGACCCAAGTTGCATATGTCTGTCATTGTCTGCATTGATGTTGTTGTTAACATTTGATTGTTTTATATACAGACCCAAGTTGCATACAGTACTCATTCCGCCCAACCTTCCGCTTTTATCGCTTTTTTTCCGACCGCTTATCGCTTAATTTCCGACCGCTCGCTGCTTTCCGACCGGAAACCGACCGCTTTTTTTCCGCTCGCTCGCGTTCGCTTTTGTTCGCTCGCTCGCTCCTACTATGACTGGCTTTAGATACACCGTCCGCTTGCCAACCGACCGCTGGAGTAACAATGATCGTACATTGTATGTATAAACTTAAGTTTTTATTCGTAATAAATTTAGGTTTTAATGACGATTCAAAATACAACGCCTATTGCTTCTCTGTTTTGGAAAAAAGACGCCTTCAAATCACTTGACACATTGTAACGTTTGCTATGCAAGTCGAACTGTGACCTGTATTTACATATTTACGTCCTTGTGTGTGTAGTTCAAGCAGCTATATGACTGGTCAATCGCGATATTATTGAGTACTAGTATTTGTGTGTTGTGTGTGTGTGTGTTTCAGTGTGAT